TTTGGTGGTTTTGTGGAGTTATTGAGAATTATGCATTTTTGGGTTATTTATTTAATTAATAGTATATAATATGAATATATTAGTATTATTATTAATTAAAATAAATATAAGTGAAATAAGGGCAAATTGGACAATGGAGAGGAGTTAGTGAGGGTAATATGGGAAAAGCTCAATTGTGAGGCCCAAGACTAGGTTTAACAAAAAGGAAATTGTGAAGGGATTAGGATACATTTTGTTAGACCGTGAAAAGAATTGAGGCCAGAGCTCTAAGGAGGAAGATTGGAGGCAGAAGTTTCGAGAGATTCCCTGAAAGATTGAGAAGGCTTTTATCGACAATTAAGGTATGGGGAGTATTACCTTCATGATTTTTCATGTGTAACTTTCAATGTATTTAAGGTCGATTTAAGGTTTAAGGGATTTTGGGACTGATTATGAGAAAAGGGGATTTTGCCCTTCGTGGCCTAAATCTATTATTGTGAATCTAACTGTGGAATTCATTGGAGTAAAAGGAAAGTTTGGCCTTCGTGGCCAAAACTCTGATTTGACCTTTGCCTAATCCTGTAGGAATATTGGATAGTGAGTAACTCTAATGCCTTTGGGGTAATTGTAAGGAATTTGTGATTTAGGGCGTGAATATGATACAGGATTAGCCTAATGAACCGTAGGTTTTGTGCCTTTATCGCCGTAAGACCTTAGGGATGATTTAGGGATGTTTTGGGGGCATTAGGGAGGTAAATCGTGTGGACTTTTGGGTTGAATTAAGTTCTGGTGCGTAGCAGAATTTGCTGTCATCGCACTGTTCGCCTAGCGAAGAATGCTTTGCACAACGAACAATGTTGTTCCCAGACTCTCCTAGCGAAGAATCCTTCACACAGCAAAGAAACTCGCCCCCAGACTCGCCTAGGAAACATGCCAGCGAACATAGCAAAGTTCGCAAATTTTGATCTTGTGCAGCGATGTCTTGATATTTGATTTTGTGATTTCTTTGACGAATTAACATGAGTATGACTGTGAGTTTTATGTGATGTGTACATGATTACACAATGGTTCCTATGATGTATTATGATGATATTACCATGATTTTAATGAATTCTATGACGACATGAGATATGATGATGATTATGATGATGATGAATATGATGAATGATGATGCACCTATGTTGTTACTATGAGGATGATTATTGATGCGTTCATCATACATTCATGTGCATCCGGACTTGGGTTCAGGACCTCGATTACTTTGGCTTCAATCCCATTGTATGGATGTGAAGTGTTTAGATGTGCTCTGATTCTCTAGTAGAATCGATCCTATTGATGGGGATCTATGGAGGGTTGATGGCCCAGTGTCCATCGAGCTGTGATGATTGGTACCACATGCATTGAGTCTTGTTGCATTTGCATTTATGGGATGATTGTGAGTAAATTGTGATGTTGTGGCATTTGATGCATATTGACGAATATGATGATGTTGAATATGAAAATGATGCCATTTTATATGTTGATTTTATACATTGATTATTATGAATCGTTTTACTCACCCTGTCTGTTTGAATGTTGCCTCCATGTGGGTAACATGCATATGACCAGGTTTAGCTGTGGACGCCATCGAGAATATTTTTGAAGTTTTTGAGTTGTTAGCCTTTTTGGTTAACTTAGAGGGTCTTGCTCTGATATGTAACATCGGGTTGGGGTCTTTTGAGTTAAACTATGTTTTATTTGAGTTTATTTTGATTATCTTCCTGTATGAGGAAAACCTTGGTTTATGCCTTTTGAGTTCCGCTGCTTTATGCAATTTGATGTATTTTGGGGAAACCCGTTGTTTACGGAGCCTTGACCCATTTTGAGGATTTGGAAAATGTACGCCCTTTTGAGGTGGCTTTTATTGAATTTATTATTTTACTTTGATATATGTGAATAAATGTGCCTTTTAATTGTGGGATAGAAAAAGGTGTTACAGTAATCACCCTTTAGGGATAAATTTTGACATTTTTTTAGAAATATAATGATGTAATAGACCATGTAATAACTATACTATCGTAATATTTATTAAAAAAATTAGACCATACATTGATCTAATAAGATGAAAATGTTATATATAAATGAATCAATCATGAATCTATAATATAGTTAAAATAATAAATTACAAAAGATAATATTATCCATAATCCCTTGTACAAATATTATACTAATGCGTATATCGGATCTCACATGTTCCTTCACTACCTCTTGTACTGTAATTGTTGGACACGTGACTTCACACACAAGAAGGGGGTGAATTGTGTGTTTTAGAAAAGCTTGGATTTGAAAAACTTCTTGAATCAAAGTCAAAGTTTTGAAAATATTTTTAATTTAATCAATGGAAAAGAAAAAATTGCAGAATATAAAGTGCGGAAAGTAAAGAGTTTAAGAGAATAAAGAAGACACAAAAAATTATACAACTTCGATAAAAAATGACTTAGTCTTGTCCCTAAGATTTGGTCTTAAAGTATCAAATACACTTAAGAGCTTTTAGTATGTTGAACTTTCGACCCCCCTTATACAAGGAAAATAAAGTTTATGACTAACTTCCAACCAAACAACAAAACAAGGAGTGAAATGTAAGTTTTCCTTCCAAATGATGGATCGAAGCGATTAATATACTTTCCACGAGAAACTTGGAGTGATTATAGTCTTCAAGCTTCCAAAAAATGGATCGAAGTGGTTAGTTTCCTTTGCAAAAAATGGAGTGATTATAGTCTTCTAGTTGTTACCCATAATTTCTCTATAATTTTCTTCTTCTTTGATTTTTCCTAAAATTCATGAATACTCATATCTTTTGATTTAAGATTGAATTAAGCTTCCAGTTCTTAACTCTTAGACATTGGTTAATGACAAATGTTCCAATACAACTTCCAATATTTTCAAAATTTGAAAAGCATTTAAAAGTAACATCTTCATCTTCTTTGCATTGTGTGTTCATTTCATATTGCTCGATACTTGAAGAAACTCCATATATTATTTCAAGAGTATCTCACATTTCCTTGGCGGTTTTGCAATGATGAGCATAAAAAAATTTATTATCATCTAGAGACATTGTTACAAAACTCTTAGTTTTGAAATCTATTTCATATCTTCTCTTTTTTTCTTCGCTCCAAAGAAAATCAGGTTTATCTACTACTTTTCCATTTACTTGGTAAGTAAGGATAAATGGACCATTGATTACAGCTTCGCATAATTCATGATTTATACTTTGAATAAAAATTCTAAACCTATTTTACCATATATCAAATCTACTACTATTAAAAGGTGGTGGTGCATTTAGAAAAGATCTCTTGTTGAAAGTCATCTTCATCCTAAGATGATTAGTCTTTAAACAATAGCTAGGCTCTGATGCCACTTGTTGGACATGTGATTCACACACGAGAGGATCTTTGGTTGGAATTGTGTGTTTCATAAAAATTTGAATTTGAAAAACTTGTTGGACATTAGTCGTCATCATCAAAAATTGTTGTCCTTATTAAAGGCATATCACCTAGAAGTTAACTTGCAAAACAAAGTTCTACAACAATGTCGTATGTGTCTTAGATAGAATGACATCTACAATGGCCCTCCTGAAAGTGCCTTCTTGAAAGTATCCTCTGTTTATACTCGCTCGCACAATATTCATAATATGATGGCATGCAGGTAACACAGCAATGACAGGATATGTCATAGTCTGTTCCTCCTTTAATATCTCCTGGTGAGTTGATCTAGGTGGCTCTCCCTCAGCATCTGGTGTCTTGTAATGATGTGTCACTCTAAAATATCATTGATGTAGCTAAACTCATAGCTTCATTCGCTAGGAGCTACTACACCTGTCGGTTCATATGGTACCTGATGATTAAGGAAATCAGCATACATGGTATCTACGTTCATGTGGACCATAGTAATAGGAACATATAAATAGGGGTCACTTGGAACAACCTACATATACTTGAACTGACGCATGACTTGCTCAAGCAGATGTGGATACATCAGATGTGACCCACGAGTCAACCATCCAAAGATGCATCGACAACAAATGCATAAATCCGGACAGGTGGGACTTCCGAAGCAGTAGTAAGTGATACATGCCTCCTTTGAGAAGATGAGTTGGAGATGCCTGAACCCTAAAAGTTGACGCATTTGCATCAAATGAACTAATATCAATTGGTTGTGGCGAGGGTCAGACTCTTTTCCTGCAGACAGATACATGTTAGGATACTTTGTCGAGCCTCAATCGATCTTGATTATCACCCTTGTTACTTATAATTTAACAAGACAAAGCAAACAAAATAGAAAAAATCAAACCTAAATAAAACACATTCAAAATCAAATCAAACAATATAAACTGACCAAATACAAAAATGCACTGCCGTATTGTTTAAAAATCAAATTTTGAAACATTACGAAAGTGTATTTTGAATACGAGACACTAAACAAACTGCAACACAATGATCCTACATAACTACAATACTTAAATCCACATATTATAGCTTTGCTGTCAATTACTCATTGCACACTTAATCAGCACAATATTCTCCTATATGAATTACCTCTAATGTTCCAAACAAATAGAGTTTTATTACTAAAAATTTGAGTGTATAAATACTCAATTATGTCAACAACAAAAAATCTTAATTATATTTGAGGCGTATCAGACATTAAGTGTTTTTTTCATTTGAATTCAAACACTAGTTCGTCATTTTATGGGAATATACTTCAATTTGCTAGGCTCAACTTTATTGGTGCAGATGATTCATTTTATTGATATAAAATGAAGTTGGGGAAACAATTGTCAAGAACTTCTTATGATAAGTAGTTTTACAATTCCTGTCAACAACATGTATGGTCAAAGTATAAAAAACAAGTAAACGCTAGTTCTTTGAACATTTACATTAATTTAGCAATTTCAAGTCCAAATTACAATATAAACAAATCCACGAACCTCCACCAAACTACCATGGTTCATTAACAACTCAACAATTGATTAACCATTCTAGTCATGATTGAGCCAGATTTTGTGATGGTAACCATGGAGGAGAAGTTCGACATATCGGACACGACGCATTCAGCGGAAGCCATTCATCAATGCATTGCGCATGAAAGCAATGTTCACACTCAGGCATAGTTTTCACCGTCTCTTTAGGCATATACTCAGACAAACATATTGAGCATGTCTTGTCATTAGGTCTTGGTAAGTGAATGCCATCATCACCTATAACTATTTTAGGGTAAGATTCAATTGTTGGTTTATCAAGACCCAAAATGGTGGTATCATGTTGTGGATCAAGAAGAGACTCAAAATCTTCCACTGTCTCACTAGCCAGAGTCCAACCATGGATCCCAAATCTGAACTTGCTGCATATCCAGCTCAATAACGAAATGAAGCATAACAGTGTTGGTACTCCAAAACATATGGCTATGGCGTAACTTGTACCATAGGAAATCCCTGTAAGATTTTCATATTTCACTATAATTTCAACCAAGTTATTTGAAAATTTTGTTCTGAAGTAGTGTTTTTGAACTACTTTAGCACCATCACTTTGTTGATAATTTATAATTTTAGATGTAACACATATACTATATAATATGTTAGTATTAAATGATATCTATGTTTTTCTATTCAACATTTGAAGTAAAAAATTGTTCTGACATATCAATTTTTTTTCAAAACTAAAATAAATGGACAAAAAATGGTAAGAAAAAAATAATTTATTACCTTGTCTTGGAGGGACATTGTAACAAGCAATTTCATGAGTGGAGTTATCTTGAAAACCACATCTTCCACCCTGAGACTCACATCTACCACACGACGGCGAATTCCACGACAACCGAAGATCGTCGTTGAGTTCAGACGACAACACATGATCATAAAACGGCGATTGGACCGGCACGTTCACGGTGTCAACCATGTCACAAACAGACGACAAGTGCAAAAGCACCGTGCGCGACGGTGTTGCAAAAATATTGTACTTGGAAGAATCACTTAAACAAGCTATCGGTTTGTAACGAGATGTGAGATAGTTCAAATCAAAGGAACAGTTAAAAAAGGTGAATTGTTGATAGTAAACGGCATGGAATGGAGAAGCAGAGAGGTTCAGTGAGAGAAGTCGTTTTGGGAGACAGTTATTGGGATCATTCACGAAAAGCTCTTGTGTTGCATAGTTTATTTTTTGGATGTTGAGTTCTTCCATGTAAGGTAGATTGAGGAGTGTTTGGTTTTTTTCATTTTTGTTATTGCATAGTAGTTTGAAACCTGGGTAGCCACATGTGTTGTTTGCTTGTTTTGTTTCTATGTAGAATGGGAATCGGATTAGTGGTTGGTTTGTGTGGCAAACACTGTCTAAACATGTTTCTGTGGTTGATTGTGCTAGTGTTTGTGTTTGATGAGGGTTGAACAGGAAATGGAAACAGATTAGGATGAGTATGGGATTGGGAATGTTCATGTTTGTCAACGAATTTTGGGTTTGGCTAAATTATTGGTTTGCTTTTGTCACTAATAGTGACAATCTTGTCAAATATGATGGTGGGGCTTTGGACTATATATTACTCCAATAGGCATACTATAATAGTCATATTCTTTTTTTTGTTTCTATTCATATGTATCTTGCTTTATTTTGTTGTCTATACGCACCAATAAAGATATAACATTGGCTTGTTTTCTTCTAATTTCTAACGTGAAGATCCAACCTATGTAAAACATTATATATATAATCAGCATCAAATAATACCAGAGAAGCTCCAAATTTAGATGAACAATCAATCAGAACGGCAGTTGGTGATGCAAACACTTCATCAACGGTTGGAGTAATTGCTCATGCCATAAATCAAATGTTAGTTTCGACTACAACACTAAAGATGGTGATACTCCAGCCACAACACATTAGTTCTCCTACAAACCATTATAGGAGGCACTAGACCTCCATTCCTTCTGGGTTTCACACTTCCCCCTAAGGGCATGGAGTAACAAGTATCTATAGCATGTTAAATGCATTAATGGCAGGCATATAGACTAATGTGTCTGAAGGTGAGAAAATACTTAGAAGGGAGGGGGGGGGGGGGGGGGGGGGGTTGAATAAGTATATAGAAAAATTTATGGCAATAAAAACTCAAGAATTTTTATCTTGGTTCGTTGAACTCAACTACTTCAGTCTACCCTATCAAGAGTGATTTGCCTTTCTCAACAAGGACTTAATCCACTATTAATCAACTGATTACAATAGCAACCACTAAGAACAATTGTTCTTAGTCTTCTTAAGAACAACTGATCCCAACTGGATCTTCTTAAGGACTTTTACAATCAAATGTAGGAATAAAACAAGTGTTTAAATGCTTCTAATTAAGCTATATCACAACTGTGATTTTACACTTAAGTTTAAGAATAATGAAATAAATTCAATAATGAGTATAGATTGTATGAGAGCTTGTAATGAATTTCTTTCAAAGATTTCGTCAACTGAAGAAGAGTGATGAAGTCTTGCTTTTATAGGCACAGAGGTCCAAATAGTTTTTCACGTTGAAGGCTGTGTACTGAAAAGGGCTGTAGCCTTTTTGTCTTCACATCACATGACCTTTCCTAGAAGTAGAATGCACAGAGAAATCATTTTTGTCTGTGTTCTTGTGTCTAGCATAAATGAGGAAAGAGTCGTTTGGTCAAGCCAACAGACATAACTTTGAATTCTTCTTCAACAAGTTTCAGCAAATAACATCAGAGCCTTGAGTGATCAGAGTCTTGATGTTCATCAGAGTTTGCTGAATCAGAGCATTGCAGCAAGTGTGCTTTCAGTGTGTAATAGTTCAGAGTAGAGTTTGGAATCAGATCCTCAGTACTATCAGAGTCTTCTGAAATAAACTAAGCTTGAAACTCTTCATACAGAAATCTTCAATGCTTCAGATGCTTCTGTAGCTTCTGCTTCAGAATCTTTTGTAGGCAGCGCTCAAAATCTTCTGGGAGATGCTTCTGACGCTTCAGAGCCTTGCATAATTTCATGTTCAGATCTAATTTGCTTTCAGAATAAGATTCACTTTAATATCTGCAGCAAACATTCTTAAACAAATTTTAGAGTATATAATTCTTTAATACAAAATTTCATAAGAGTTATCATCAAAACATAGAGATATAATTAAGAACCAATCTGTGTTCTAACAATCTCCCCCTTTTTGATGATGACAAAAACATAAGAAATTTTGTTCAATAAAAAATATAATTATAACTCCCCCTGAGATTATGAATCTCCCCCTGAATTGAATACTTAGAAGGAATAAAAACTTCCCTTTTTGCATGAGTATTCTTTTCAGAATCAGAGCCTGATTGTTCCAAAAATTAGATCTTGACTTTGGATGCACGTTTCAGAATCAGAGCCTGATAGGTTAAAACTTGATTTGGGGATCTCAGAGTTACTTTTAAAGAATTTGTCAGATTTTTTAAATTTTTTGAAATACTAAGAGTTCACGTTAGTTATAATTAGATATGTCTGAATTTCATTTAGGTAGAGTTTATTTGAACAGTCAGATCCATTTTCTCCCCCTTTTTGTCATAATCAAAAAGTAAAACTTTAAAGACAAAAAAAAAAGGAAATAGAGAAAAGATACAATCATCTAGAGAAAACAACAGAGTCATTCATTCATATTAAAAACAGACAAATCATTAGATAAACATTCAAGTACATGTGCACAAATATCAGATACAGAAAAACATAAACTAGGTTTGCTTGGACATAATCATCTTCAGAAGCTGAGTGATCTCAGATGAGGATTTTTCTTGCTTTGTCATCCATTTTGCCATGTTGTCATTCTTCTGATCTTGCTTGGACATCCATTGTGCCATGTCTTCAGTCTTCTGGTCTTGCTTGGCCATCCATGACTTGATCTCAGATTGTCCAGCTTCCAAAACTGCAATCTTATCTTCCAAATCTGGATTTTCTTTCTTGATCTTAGTAGAGGTAGAAGGAGCTGATTCTTGTGCAAGAATAGAAGCAGAGGCAATTCCCATTGGGGATACAGAGTCAGGAGCAACAGATCCAGAGGGATTTTCCACAATTGTCAGAGCCAAATGGTTTTCCTCAGAAGCAGATTCTGCAAGAGTTTCTGTAGCAGATACTCCAGAAGATGAAGGGACATCTTCAAGAAGCAAAGGTGCAGATCTCTTTACGTTCCATATCATGCTTCTGGCAGTCTCAGCAAATCTGAGCTTCACATCATCAGAACATACATTTTTCAGATTTGAGGCTACAGTATTGAATCTGGTAATGAAGTTATTCCAGATAGCATCAGATTCATTTTCATCCATGGTTGACAAGCATCTCTTCTCTACAGAGCCTAAATGCATCTTTATTTCTTTCATAAAATTTGCAAATAAATTATCAACATTTAGCCTAGTTTTTGATTTGAGAAGGGTTTCCAAAGTGAATGGCTTGGGTTGAGGTGGAGGTGGAATGGTAAATTCTGGAATGATGATCAGAGGGATAGGATATGCTGGTTTCTTCTGAGCAGGCATAATGCGAAAGAACGGTTTGATTCTGCGAATGGATGGGATGACAGCTTTTGGATTATCAAAATAAGGAACAAAAGCTGATGGTTTTTATTTAAGTGTTAGTATTGGTTTAGGAATGATAGTATCAGATGTAATGTGTAGATCTAGTTGGTTAGATTCAAATACTCTGAGGGAAGGGGGTGAGATAACATCTGGATGGATATCATATTCAGATGAATCAGATGAGGTGGTTGGGGTGCAAGATGTAGAGAATACAACAAACATAGTCTTGAGAGGTTGAACATCCAGAATCTCAGAGTCAGGTATGTTTGATTCAATAGGATTGGATGGTTCTGGTTGAGGATCAGTAGGTTTGGATGATGGTGGTTTAGATATAACTGGTTCAGATGCAACTTGTTCAGATGCAACGGTTTCAGATGCAACTGTTTCAGATGCAACAGTTTCAGATTGTATGGGTTCAGATGCAACTGGTTGTTGAATTTCAGGATGTTGTTGTGTTGTAGGTTGTTCTGTTGGTTTTGTTTGTGGTTCTGATGGAGGAATGTCATATGATATAGGTGGTGTTGTGGAAACAGGATCAGATAAAATTTGTGATTCAGAAATTTTTGGTGGTTCAGAGGTTTGAGATGGAGCAGGAATTGTTTGATTTTGAGTGGGAGGAGGTTCAGGCATAGAACTATTTGTTGATAAATCTACTGCAATTTTAGAAAGTGAAGATAAAGATGTTTTAGTACCTTTAGTCTTGATGCGCTTGGTGGGAACAGAGGGAACTTCTCCAGAAGCTTTTCTCTTGATCTGCTTCTGTGGTTTATCAGCAACTCTTTGTTTCTTCTGAGTAGCAGCTTCTTTTGCTTCTAATTGTTTTCTTTTCCTCATGTTCTCTTCATAGACATCTGGCATAGGTTCTCTAGCACGAATCAGAATGTCTGCAGGAAAAGGTGTTTCATCTGCTTTGCACGCTTCAATATATCTAAGAATAATATCCCTTGGTTCTTCAGCATCAAAGATTGGAAAGTCTTGAACTGGAATTCTTCCCTGACTAACTTCAGAAACATTTAGCTTCTTAGGAGCAGCTGTGAGTTCATCCACAATTTTTAGCCTCTGAAGACTCTTTCCATTCAAGGGTTTCCCAATTATTGTCTCAAGCTCTTCTTTAACTCCAGCTTCATAAAGAGCAGCTACCAGACCATTCTCTGTCAGAATGTTTGAGATCAATCTTCCAAAAGGAATCCACGTCCTGATCTTCTGTCCCTTATCCTTTATGGATTCTCTGGATGCATTGATGTGATTCCACAGATGCATAAAGAGAATGTATGGAAGATCTACTTTTGTACTCTAACTTAGGCAGTACATGAAGTAGAGTTGTTCATTGTTCACATAATATGGAGAATTGGTGGATTTTCTGTGATTGATGCATCCCAGAAAAATCTTTGCCCGGATTTTGTAGTCAGGTTTCAGATCCTTAAATTTGTTAGAAGCTTGTCTAGATGCAACAACTTCCTCATAAACTTCTTCCATGTCAACACGCCCAGCTGGCAGATGACAAACTCCATCAGTTTCCTCATACCCTATGAGTTTTCTGATGAGATCTTCAGTGATTATGATCTTCTTTCCCAGAACAGAAGAGAGGATGAACTTTGGATAAACAGAAGCATGAATCCAAAATTCCTTCACCAAGTGTGGATACACTGGACCAAACAACCTGTCAAAATACTTAACCCAGCCTTGTGCATCAAAAATAGAACGCAAATCAAATCCATTGTCAGCCAACGAATCAAATTCCACCATGGATTCACAAAGAACTTCAAGCTTGTCTACAGGGGTTAACAATGTTCTCTTAGGTTCCTTAAAAGGAGTAACACCCATGTTTGATGACGCAACTGCAGCCATAAATGATTGAAACTAAGCTGATGTTGAGGATGATGTTGCCATTGTTGAAGATGAAGAAGATTT